CACTAGCCAGTTCCTACATCAGCAATACTATTGTTGGTAAAGCTTTCTATTGGAATTTTAGTTTCGTTTCTATTGTACATCTAATCTTAGGTGCTATTACGATAGTTTTTTTAATTATTTTCATTGTTATTGTGATTAAATACAATCGAATTGGTATTCTTATTGTATGTTTAGGTTTTTTTCCTTGTCTATGATATACCATTGTGTTATTTTGACTAGTTTGCATGGTTGAGTGTCCTTGAATTAATATGTATGGTCATCATCATTGTTCTGGCAATTATTGCGATAGTTGCTTTTTCAACCGTATTACATAATGCTGCTGTTGGAATTATTTTTAGTGTGATTATTCTTGTTATAGCAGCTATTACATCTATTCTAACAGTATGTGTTTATTTTTAATTTCTTTAGTTTCATTTGATATTGTTTTTCTTAGATATTGACAGTTATTTTTTCATTTAAATTGGCCAAATTACTTAAATTGCATGAAGCTTATCAATTCGTCTAGAATTAAACACGTACATACTTCGAGATGATCTCTTTATTATGACTAAAATTTTTATTTGGTTAATCGAATGAGTTGTATTTATTGAGCTAAATATTCTTAATCATTTTGAATAAAAGAATTGAACATCATCATGAAAGTCAATCAAAAACGTCATAATAAATAGAAGAAAATAGAGCACATGAAAAACCGAAGACTTATGTAGTTTAAGAGACAATCTACGAAACGATCACCCAAGCAGGGTGCCGAAAAAATTTACTTTTTGAAATGGCATATATAGTTGAAAAGAGCGCAAAAAGTTATCCATAAACCCAAAGTTTTAGATTTTTCTGACCACGTCTTGGGTGACTTCCGAGATCTGAGTTTTTCAGCTTTTCGAACGACATATTAAAAAAATTAGCAATTTTTGACATTTTTTTTTTCGGAGATGTTTTCAACTCTAAAAGGTGACCCAAACTACATAAGGTAGTCAAAAATTTCTGCAAACTGCTGTCTAAAATTTCATCCTAGTTGGTTTTATTCCTCATGTTGACCTTTTCTAGTAGTGACATCTCTTATGTATTAAAATACCAATACGAAGTTTCACAAATGTCTATTATGGCAAATTTCCAACGAATTTTTTTAACACCTTGGTTTTCAGATGGAAAACAGTACATACGCTCATATGTAAAAACTCGTTTGTTATTAGGTTTAACAGCTACACAAATTCATGATGAATTAACTACTGCTTATCGACATGGTGTAGTTTCATATTGTACAGTTACTCGATGGATTCAACGATTTTCAAATGAGCGAGAATCCTTGGAAGATAATCCTCGAAGTGGTTGTCCAATAACCGCCATCACTCAACAAAATATTGATGCTGTTAAAGATCTGGTGAATGATGATCTACATATTAGTATTGATTATATTGCTACCATCTCAGACATGTCTATTACTTGTGCTATCGTGACGAATGTTTAAAAGGATTAGTCGAAAATTTATACAAGAAAAGATCATCATAAAAAAACTTGGCATTAAATTTGCTTCTTCACAATGCAAAACCACGTATGCAAAATATTAATCTTAATCTTGATTATCTTCAAGAAGAAAAAATCAAGGTTATGGCTCATCCACCATATTCATCTGACCTTGCTCCTTCAGACTTTTGGTTATTCAATTATCTGAAACGTAGTCTTGATACATATCCAGTTTCAACACGTTTAGCTACGGCAACAACCAAGGAGCTTAACTCAATACCTATTCACGAATACCAAAAGACATTTCAGAAATGCATTGAAACGATGAAATTTTGTATTGAACATCGTGGGAACTGCTTCGAACATTTACTGTAACAAGATTAGCAAAATGTTTTCTCTATGAAGAAATATTTGAAAGTTGCAGAACTTTTTGACTACCCTATGTATAAGAAAACTATAAGTATTTTATACCAATCGATAGAGGGAAATTTACTCTACAAAATCCCATATGAATTATATTTTTTTGATTTTCCCAGCAGTACTAATAATTGACAAGCTATCGAAGTTCATCAATTTTGCAAACAACTTTGAACATAGTTTTTGACTCTCTTTGTATCTAGTATTTCAAGATTCCAGGGTGAATTTTGAATATGTTGTAGAGTATGAAAAAGACGCATCTTTTCATATAATTATGCTTAGGGTTCAAGTATTAGCAAAGTCCATAATCGCTATCTATAACGTAAAAAAACGACATAATTTTTTTCTATTTTCATATATAGATCATATGTTCTGGTTATCAATAAATTCATCATAAGCGGCATTTCGTCTTTCACTTTTGATTCAAATAGCACCAATTTATAGAGCATTTGATATTACTAATGAGACATAATCACAGGCTATCATCGATAATTCTTTTAGTGGTAGCACGTGCTGAAT